ATTGCTGTGCTCTGCTATCAGCTCCTGCAGCCACTTTGCACTGGTGTTATGTGTCTTCTCTTTCTCTCATATGTTCTTCCAGTACTGTTCAGTTTGCTGTTGGTGGCTCTACTGTTACTGTGTGGTTGCATTGCAGTTGGGAATACACTTTGGACAGTTCTTTGGCGAACAGGGCATTTATCTTCTTGGCCTCTGCTTCTCTAATGTATCTCCTTAGCCTTGCAGCCAGTGCTGTGAGCCTTTGTTTAGCAGTCTCTAGGGCTTCAGATGGAGTCAAGCCCATGTATTTTTTCAGTAGCTGAGTCTTGTCCTTAATCTCCACACCCTTCTTTAGTTCCACCAGCCAACTGACTTCTCTTTGAATTGCCTTGATCTTAGCCTCCAACCTCATTTTCCAGGGAGGGTATGTACTGCTGTCCTTCTTGATTGTGTAGCCAAGCATTTCCAGGATTACAGCGGCTATAGCATATACCAGTTCATTGGTTTGAGTTATGATGGTAGTAGGGATTGTCATGAGGGCTTTATTGGCATCTTCTAGTATACTATCTGATGGTACTTCTCCACTGAGCCTTGGTAATTGGTCTCCAGGGTTGACTTTGGCTAGTTTATCCATGATGTTATGCCTCATATCAGCTGCTGTGCTCTGTAATGCAGGGGGTGGCAGTGACGTTCCAGCTTCAGGTGTTGGCTGCACATCCAGTTGTTCTTCCAGGTCTGCTTGAGTCCGAGTTGGAATGTGAAGTTGTTCTATCTCAAGTTGTGAGAGCAGCTTCCTCTTCACTATGTTGAAGCACTGGATAACTGGTTGTTTCTCAGTTAGTGTGGATGTAGGTCTTCTGTCTATCCATAATTCCTTCATACGTTTTATATATCCCCTATCATTAGGTCCACTGTTGTAGTAGCATTCCATCAATTCCAAGTTCTCTTGTCCATGTATGGTTTGTTTGTTTATATTTCAAATTTAGATACCGCCCACCCCACAAAAAGTGACTTTTGGCGGGTCACCATTAAAAAACAAAAAATATTAAAAAAAAAAAAAAAAAAAAAAAAA